TTGTCAACGTTGTTCCTGTTATTGCAAAATCGGACTCACTGACAATGGAAGAACGCGTGACATTTAAGGAAAGAGTAGGTCATCCCAAACCGTGTTTTTTGGTTCAAGCCATATACCGAGCTATTTAACGTTAAATATTTCTTCGTGCAATAGATAAAGTCAGAATTGTCTTATCACAACATCAAGTTATATCCCTATGAAAGTGATGAACTTGACGAAAATGAAATCTCTCTTAACGATCGCATCAAGGTATCGACCAATTAATCATCTTAAATTCTTTTCGTCCGAGTAAGCTCCCATATATCTCACATTTTATCGTTTAACTCAGCAGCAATTGATTCCATTCGCCATTGTTGGATCAGAAAAGAATGTTCTCATTGATGGAAAGCAGGTTCGCGGACGAAGGAATAAATGGGGCGTTATTAACGGTAAATTGAATTTCGCCTTAGGCCTATTTTACATCTTGTGATTCAACCAGTATAAAAATTGATCGATTATCTGTTACTTGATTACAGTGGAGAACGAAGATCATTGCGAGTTCGTTCATCTTAGAGATTTTCTTACACGGTATGCATTCATCACGATTCAACTATTAAATTTTAATAAGTTTGCTCATTAATATCTCTTGCATTTTCTCATATTTATATTTGTAGAACTCATCTTCAAGATCTTATTGAAACCACGGCCCAAATTCATTATGAAGCTTTCCGCTCCAAGCAATTGCTGGCCCTTAAGGAATCCTCTAGTAACAAGCAACACGATCAACAACAACAGCAACAAGTACAACCTGTGCAACCACAGGTAGGACCCGGTGGACCGGTTATTTAATAAAGAAAAATAGAATAATAATAATAAAAGAGATTGACATCTTAACGGATAATGTAGGTTTTAAGGGTTATATATATATATATATTAGATTAGATTGGCAGATGCTTTATTTACTGGTACATTTCTTTTATTCTCGATGTTCCGTGTTTATTTATGGATATTATAGTCTATATTTCCGGATCATGTTATATTTACTTTACATCAATTCCTAACTATTCGTGTTCAAAAAAGAATTAATAACTCGAGATTTTTTTAAAAGGAAAATCATATCTAATTTGTTAATTCCTTTATTTATTCTTTATTTATTACTTTCAGAATCAATACTAATAATTCCTTTTCGTTTTTTAAATATAAATTCGATAATCTTTATTTGAGGAAACTTCTGTATCACTTAAAAATTACCTATTCTTGTGTGAAAACTGTTGTATGTTTAGTCGTCTCGATTTACTAATGTCACAGGTCTCTCATAACAATGCCGTTTTCTGTGACCTTGGTTTCAAATGTATTATTAAGAAATGAAACATTTATTACATTCATTTGTAGCTAGATAATGTTTTCTTGAGCCACAGCTCTCATGCTAGCACGATTGCAAAATATTAAAATCCTTTGCCCCCTCTCTCTTCGCGCCTTATTTTATCCAATTTTTCTTTAAATCTTTTTTTAAGTTCCTCTTTATTCTTCTCTGCATTAAAATTTTTGGCGTTTGTTGATCCGGGATCTCTTCTTTCTTGAGAGATAAAACGCATAGATTCTTGCTTGAACCCAGCATGTGCGCTGCTCCTGACCTTTTCGACGCACTTTTGTGAATGTGCTTCAGGATGCCTACGAGAAAGATCTGTTATGTTTGCAAGTGTACAACGCAAAAGATAAACATATTTGTGCCGTTCATGTACCTATGTGTTATGCAATATTTCATATTACAATACTGGCAAGTGTGACTAAGAACTGACAAACTCTGTTTACACTTTGGCACTGAACACGAATTCGAAGGCGGTTTCGCGTCTCTACAAAATTCGCTTGGCATTTTAGATATTTTGACAAAAAAAAAAAAAAACACGATCCACATTTTTCAAAACTCTTTTTTCTATATTACCCCAGGATGTGTGCCACCACTTGATCCAAATCATCTTTACCCGATGCTTTATCTGCTGATGTAGAATCTTTCTTCATCTCCTTCGATTTATTTTTCTTCTTCTTCTTCTTCTTGACTTTCACGGTCGAAGCATCCTGAACATTATTGTCATTAGTATCATCTTGGTCTATATTTTCCAAGGATATTTCATTCTCCTCATTAGGAACTGTTAAAGCACTACTTGTTTCTTCCTTCTCTGCTTTTGATTCGTCCTTGTCTGTCATCATAAAACGAGTCGTGTGCGTGAGCAGTGAGTCCGCAGTAAGTCCGCTGTACCTACCGTATATGTTATCCGGTTACCCTACCAGCTGGTGGTGTGTTACATGGGGCATTATTTAGAAACCGAAAAATTTTATTTAATTAAAATTACAATTAGCAAATTAATCATTATTAGGATTTTTAAAATAAATTTTTTTTCGAATTTAAAATATTTCTAAAAAGTGCAAATACACATTACACAAAGATCTTGTTTGGACGACGATAAATTTTCCGTTTCTTACTTCTATATAAAGCATGCAACAAAGCAGTGGAGAATAATATCTTCTATAATAACTGCTGCACATGACTTTAAATCGGCCTTTCGGGGATATACAATACGTCATTATTTTACGTCATCTAACATTTTCACTAGTTTAATTAGAGTAAATATATATATGTATGCAAATGATACGATTACAATTAATGGATTTTGCACGCGAGACCAATTTTAAGGAATCTGACTTTCCCATCCAAAAGAGAAATTCTAACGGCAACGGTATATCTCACTCACACTCTCCTTACGTCCGTGATGATTCCCCTATTGACATGGACGGTTTAAGTTGGCCTAGTAAATACTTTTCAAAAAAAAAAAACCCCCCTCGGTTTTTTTATTTCACTTTTTTTTAATGAGATCTTTTATGTACATAAAAGGTCTTGGTACCAAACAAAGGTTAAATGAGACCGAGGAGCAAAAGGAAGAACGCATAAATAAGTTATCCGAAGCCGTCAAAACGATCATAGAATGTATTGGGGAAGATCCCAACAGGCAAGGGTTATTAAAGACACCTGACAGATATGCGAAGGCTCTATTGTTCTTTTCTAAGGGATACGAAGAAAGTATTGAGCGTAAGTGAATTCGATTTCGCAATAGCTGGATCCGCCTCAGATCTTTCAATTCCACTAAACTTTACCATCCAAATTTAGAGATTATTAACGATGCTATATTTGAAGAAGGTACTTTATGCTCTACTTATATTATATATAACAGGAATCCAAATATATGCTAATATATTTCGATGAACAAATTTAATCAGATCACGACGAAATGGTTATTGTCAAAGACATTGATGTGTTCTCTTTATGCGAACACCACCTTGTTCCCTTTACTGGCAAGGTAAGGTTCTTTGCTTTATTTTACCTTCGTTTGTCGTTCTTTCTTTCCTTCCCTCAGGGTAATCTTGTATTTGCCATCATTCGATAGATCAGCATAGGATATATCCCGAATCGCCGCGTTTTAGGTTTATCAAAATTGGCAAGAATTGCAGAAATGTTCTCTAGACGACTACAAGTTCAAGAACGACTCACAAAACAAATCGCGGTAGCGCTTCAAGAAATATTGAAACCTCAAGGTGTAGCAGTTGTTATGGAAGCTACGTAAGTATAAACTTTGAATGTGTCACCTTTTTTAATGAAATGTCTAAATTTTTATTTGTTAGGCACCTGTGCATGGTGATGCGTGGTGTACAGAAACCCGGAAGTTCCACCGTCACAAGCGTTATGCTAGGAGTATTTAGGGAACAAGCGAAAACCAGAGAAGAATTCTTGAGACTCATAAGAAGCTAGTGAATTTTTTGATGCCGTTATTTTATTAGAAAACGAGACATTCTTAATAATATAGAAACTTCCTAGAAACCTTAATTTAATCTCTAGAATGTTACTTTTATTATTATTATCTTTACGGATTTTGGCTCAAAGAAAAAATCCCTTTTTAACTATATTAAAAGAGGCATAATTTAATTAATATGCTTATTTTATTTACAAATTTTATAAAAAAGAAAAATAATCGACTATTTAAAAGACATTCTTTTCATAATCACCCATTCGTTTTTTTAGATCGCTATTCTTTTTTAATGATTTATTACAATTTATTCAATCAATCATACAAAGTTTTATTATTAAAGGATAATTAATTACTTTCAAAATACTTTTTATTTTATGAATTAATAAAAATTGAGAAAAAAGCATTCATATATATATTGTATACAGTATATAGAATCTTATTTTTTTTTATTAAATTTATCATTATTTTAAAAAAGTAAAATTATTTGTTTTTTCAAAAAAAAAAATATATTATTGTCATATAAGCTTTTATAAATTCTATGGTTTTATATAAATTATATTAAAAATAAAAATGATAATAGGTTTAAAAAATTATTTAACATACAAAATTTTGCAAATTGATGATATTTCATTGAAAAAGATACAATTACAGTAATTAATCCTCAATTTTTAACAAAAATATAATTTTTAAAAAAAGAATACCTACTTGAATAAAATACCATAATTCAAAATTGTAAATAAATAAATTTTTATAAAATAAATTTCTATATTTGCTCGTTTTTTTATTTTAAATAAAACGAAAAAACTCCTTTCCAATAATAAGAAATCGTTGAATGACGCTTTCACCTTTGAATTCGAAATTTATTTTCAAAATTTATTTTCGAAATTTTTGTAAAAATAATAATAACAAGTGAATAATTAAATAAATTTTGTTTTTAAATACAGTATTATAATATGTTTATTTAATTTGATTTAATTTAAGTGCAATGTACAGTATGTTTAATATAATTTTAATTTTTATGTACAATATATGTTAATGTTATTTTTCATTTGATTTATGTTTTAATTTAATTTATGTTTTAAATTAATTTAATTTAATATGTTTTAATTTAATTTAATACTTTTTATTTTATTTTATTTTTACTCTTAATTATGTTCGGCCGTTCTTAAATTTGTTTAAATATTATTTTAATGTTATTATAAAAATATTTTTTATCAGTATTGCAAATATTTTTTTATACAGTATTTAGAAAAATTTATTATTATTAATTATTATTTTACTCTGCACTCTTGAGGTCGTATTTGAAATCAACTTTTTTTAGTTTACAGTAATGATATCACGTTCCTGATGCTGGTTGGCCGGAACTTATGGATCGTCGGTCAAGTGACGAGTCTGTTTCAGATCGACCATGTGACTTCAACATTTTTTGTCATGCAAGGGACATACACCAGACATTCGTCATATAAATCATTTTTCCTATCAGTGGGCCAGGCAAACGAT